TCAAGTCAGTTCCAACCCATAACGACCATACTGGTTTCCAAAGATTGACTGGTGAGCTTCAACCGCCAACCTTGTGGTTCAAACCGACTTTGCAGTCCAATGCATTAAGCAAGCGCCACACCAGAAGTCCATGCTGTTCTTAGGAATATTAAAAAAAGAAAGAAAAGCATAAAAACAGACATTATAATCCAATAACCCATCAGAAATAAGAAATAACTTTTGGAGTATTTTCACCCAGACATGGCATGTGGGCATTTGAGATATTTTATTCAGAGAGAAAAGATTAGCACCTATAACATTTTCTCAAATCCTAAATGTTACATTTAAATTAGCTTTTGGAGAATAAATAGATTTAAAGTATTTTTATTTTATTCAGGAAAAAATTTTCAGCCAAGACAGCTAAGAATTTTAATATCCAATAGTTGTTGACAATAAACACATATTAAAATTGATATATTTGGTTAATTAAAATTTTTCCATTCATTTTTTTAATCTTAAAATTCTCACTCCTCTTACCTTTGTATGCTTTCTAATAAATTCAACAGAAACAGGAACCATTCTGTCAAATAAGCCTACAATAAATTCCTTTTGAAGAGCATTGACTGAAGCAGGTAAAAGATTTACCCAAGACAACATCAGTGGTCTCCAGCCTAACATGTGAGGTTCCATGTAAATCATACCACATCTGGACACCTGGAAAAAAGTAATTGTTTCTCATTAAGGTTTTGCTTATAAAAGAAAAATGACTTGGTACATCTGTTGCTCACAACCTTCAGAAAACTCTTGGGAAATGAAAGAGCCTAATTTTAATATCATGTCATTCTCTAAGTTTTTGTACGTGATCTACCAAATGGTCATAGATAAAGAAAATAACATTCCTGAGTCTGTCAACCTATGTCAGTAGATATGTATGGTCTCTAAGAATCACTATAAAGGAAATTCGGCTAATATTTCTTATGTGAAGCTAAAGTTACTAAGTAAAAAACACATTGCTAGCATTTCACAAATTATAAACAGATTTCTAAACTGGGACTTACAGTGGCAGGAGAAGCAACTTCTAAATCCATCGGTTCAAAAATAAGATTCATCTGTGGTGACATTTGAATAATCTCCCCGCTCATCAGACATAGCTTTTTGTTGTCATCCAGGACAGTGTTCATATTCTCAATCCAGACTGCATCTACTGGCCCATCAAAAACCAACCACTTTCTATCAGGAGACTGTGTACAGAGTGATTAAAAGGCAAACATGCAACAGGTAAAATGTAGGAAACAGCATAATAATAATAATAGTCCAAAATTTAAAACTGCACTCCTTAAATTTAAATTCAGTATGAAAACATAAAGGCATCCTTTTAATATGAGAAGGTTTCAAAAATTCACTGATATGTGGAATAAACGATAATAAATTTTTCTGTGAACTTTTTGAAACCTGCTTGTAAAATATGTTGCTGTTGTTAGGTGCCATCGAGTTGGTTCCAACCCCTAGTGATACTGTATATGGTTTTCAAGGAGTAGCTGGTGAGCTTGAACTGCTGACCTTGCGGTTCAAACCAACTTTGCAGTCTAGCGCATTATTAACCCACAACACCACACTAGGACTGGTACATATGTTCAAAGTATGAGAGACAAATTCTGGTCATCTTGGCTGCTAAGGAGCATTCTGGTTATGTTTCCTCCAATGAAGAGTTGTTTATTCTTCTGGCAACCCAAGATACTTTTAATATTCTTCTCCAACACCATAACTCAAATACATCAATTCTTCTACAGTCTCTTTATTCATTGTTCAACTTTTACATAAACCACTGAGAATCCCGACCCAGTCAAGTTGACATAAACCTGAGCTATTACACCGGCAAAGAATGTTTCTTTTTGCATGAAAACCTTTTCTTGATTTTTTATGATACTTGTTGCATACAATATTTGTCCTTTTGTGATTGACTAATTTCACCCAGGATAATGGCCTCAGGTTCATCTATTTTATGAGGTTTTTACAGAATCATTGTTATTCTTTATTGTTGTAAAATATTCCATTGTGTATGTACCACAGTTTGTTTATTCTTTCTTCCATTGATGGGCATTTAGGTTGTTTCCATCTTTTTGCTGTTGTGAATAGTGTTGTGAAAAACATGGTTGTGCATGTATCTATTTGTGTCACAACTCTTATTTCTCTGGGATCTGTGTATCAAATTAAAGGATTGTTAGATCATATGATATTTCTATTTCCCACTTTTTTAAGGAAGCTCCATATCACTTTCCACAGGGGATGCAACATTTTACAGCCCCATCAGAAGTGTATGAAGGGTTTAATCTCTTGACATCCTGGCCAGCATTTGTTGTTGTCTGATTTTCTGAATGTTGCTATCAATGCTGGGGTGAGTTGATATCTCATTGTTTCTATATGCTCTCTTCAATGACTAATGACTGTGTGCATTTTTTCATAAGTCTGTGGACTCTTGAATGCCTTTTTTGGTGAAGTGTCTGTTAATGCCCTCTGCCCATTTTCAGTTGGATTATGTATCTTTTTTGTTGTTGTTGAGATGCTGAAGTTTCTATAAATTTTAGAGATTCATCCCTTTATCTGATATATCATTTCCAAAAAATATTCCCAGTATATATATATATATGTTGTTGTTGTTGTTGTTAAGTGCCGTGGAGTCAGTTCCAATGCATAGTGACTCTGTACAGGGTTTCCGAGGCTGTATATCTTTGTTGTTGTTGTTGTTATGTGCCGTGGAGTTGGTTCCGACTCATAGCGACCCTGTACAGGGTTTCCGAGGCTGGAAATCTGTACGGGAGCAGAACACCTCATCTTTCTCCCACAGAACAGCTGGTAGTTTCGAACTGCTGACCTTGCGGCCCGCAACCCGATTCGTAACCACTACGCTACCAGTCTTATCTTTACGGGAGCAGAAAGCCTCATCTTTCTCCCGCAAAACAGCTAGTAGTTTCAAACTGCTGAATTTGCGGTTCACAGCCCGACTCGTAACCGTTACGCTACCAGAGCTCCTTAGTCTATATGTAGGTTCCCATTTTATTCTTTTGGAGAATCTTTTGATACATATAAATGTCTAATTTTTAGGAGGTCCCAGTCACCTAGTTTGCCTTCTGCTGTTTATGTGTTTTCAGTTATATCTGATAGTTTGCCTATGTCATGTATTAAGACCTCTAAATTTGTCCCTATTTTTTTCACTGATGATCTTTACAGTTTTAAGTTTTACATTTGGTCTTTGATTCATCTTGAGTTTAAATAAGTATCTTTAACTGTAAATATACATTATCCAAGTGTTTTAACTGAAAAAATAAGATGTTGCTTAGAATAAATATATTGTTTTTTAAATGCATGCAAACATGTTAGTACTCACAAGTGACGAAGCAAATACTCTAAAACTGACAGCAAGGACCCCATCAGACCACTCGTGGGAGACTAAATCAAATTGGCCATAGAGCTGGCCCATGGTGACAGATTTAGGATTTAAGACAGTAATCTGAACTTTGTTTTCTTCCATTAGCCCCTAAAAGAAAAACAAAACAAAAAAACCTTGTTTCTGTTTTTTATGTAAAATTATATGTTCAATTTTTCCAATATTACCTCCTATCCTCTCCATCTCTAGAGCTTAAAAAACAAGAGAGCAAACTGAAAAAAAAAAAATGATATAGGAATAATAATACCGTATATTGCTTTTTTCTTATTGCCCAGGAAGGGGATAACAATGTATCTTCCTTCCTAAATTCAAAAGTATTGAAAAAGTCTATCATCTTAATCAGGATAAAATTGTTGCCACCAAAGAAAGGGTTTACCCTGAAGATAGCAAGACTAACGTGAAGCTCTAAATTGTATGCATCAGCTAAGAAAGCCTGTCCCTTCTCTCCTGCCACAATGTCACACTTAGAATTTCCAGGTACCAAACCATTTTGGACTTCATAGTAGGACAAAAGCGCATATTGACACCATTGTCATCTTTGTTTATCTTTGAGTGGCACCCTGTTTGTTTCTTTTGAAGATTTATTTGTTTTCATAGGGAAAAACAAAAACAAAAATCAACAAACAGAAACACAAGCAAAAAAATGAAGAAACGAACCATAAGATGATGATAGGAAGGCAAGGCAGGAAAAGACAAAGGGTGAGGACAAGGGGGAAAGAGAAGGAAGACACAAGGAAGGGAAGGGATGGACCAAGAAGGAAAGTGCAAGCAGTGCTGACTCCTAGAGGACAAGAATAATAAGCAAGGGCGTTTGCATGATAATAAATATAAATCAGCTCAAATCCCCCATGAAAACATAAAGACCATTAAACTGGAGAAAATAAAAGTCAAACTATTTGTTCTACACACAAGAGACAAATACAGATATCTCAGGGCTTAGGCAAAAGACAACAGAAGTTGCTGAGACAGCTCTCAGGTAAAAGGAAATAGGAAACAACTATTCTGTGAGAATAAGAAACAGATGAAGGCTATCAAGGTGTTCATTTTCAATAACAATTCTGAAATGAGTCAGCCTTGAAACTATGTGAAGCACATTTTATTCTAAAGTAAACATGAAATAATGCTCAAGGGGTTAAAAAAAAAAGGCAAAAGATAATGACAACCACAGTTGTAATCGCAAAATTAGACAAAATGAAACCAAGGAAAATAACAAATAATTTTGTTCTAGTTGAATGGTAGCCTCCATGAAGAAGATAAATCCAATTAGACTATAAAGATTAAAATAGAGAAAGTAAAACCTATTAACATATAAGGAGAGACAGAAATATAATACTCATTGGAAACTATAAACAGCCCCCTACCTTTACCTAAAGTAAGTTAAAAAATATGATATGAGAATAAAAATTTTGAATAGTACAGGATTACTGAGAGTTGAAATCAACTCGACAGCACACAACAATAATCATTTTATATGTGTGTGTGAGTGTGTGTGTTTTATATACATATTTATGTACATAAAGGAGCTCTAGTAACGTGGTAGAATAAGCATTGGACTGCTAATCACAAGGTCAATAGTTCAAATCCACCAGCTGCTCCATGGGATAAAAATACAGCTTTCTGCTCCTGTAAAGATTTACAGCTTCAGAAACCCTATGTAACAATGCTGTGAGTCAGAACTGACTCAACTCAACAGCAGCTAGCAATGACAACATGCATATGTATATATATAATACACATGTATACAAGGGGGTTTGAAAAAGTTAAAGCCCCTAAGTATGTATATACTCTTTGGAGAATATAAACTGCCCCCATCTTTACTGAAATTAAGTTAAAAAATATGATATGAGAATAAGAATTTTGAATAGTATAGTATTCCAATTCAATACCACTAGCAATTTATAACAGAAGTTTGCATTATAAACCCAAAATAAAATATATTCTCCCAAAAGTATGAAAAGAAAAACTGCAAATTTTTCTGTGGTTTCAGATTTTTATTCCACAATGAAAATTTATTAACCTTTATAATTAAAATCCTTTTAAAAGTAACAAAAGATGGAGTGGGAAATTTGTGGTGGTCTTTCATATGCTGAACTTTCTTACTTTCTTTTATGTTCCTGATTTTATTTTCTCTTTCAATCATTTCTTTAATTACTTAATTTGTTTTATTAAAAGTATCTGTTTAAATGGTCTTACTTTCTTTCCTGCACACAGCTGATTATAAGTGTATTAATGCATGATTGTTGCCTCACCTTGTCACATAAATCATTTAGTGCCCCAGCTAAGACCCGATATGCACTGGTCTTTCCTCCAAATGGTTCTCCAACAATCATAAAACCATGACGCACAATCATCATTTCATATATTTGAAGAATCTTCTCAGAAAAGAACTTGGTCATTTGCAAATTCATGGAATTACAATTGTCTTTGATAGCTGCCAGCAAATCATTGTAATCTGGTTTAGGTAATTTCACCCCAGGAAACAAATCAGAAGTAATTCCCTGAGAAAAGATGATGGTGAAGTTTATATATATTCTCATGGATATGTATACAAATACACACAAACATAATAAAATTCTTCTCATGTAATCTAGTGTAATGTAATCAAGCCATCATACTCATTGAAAGAAATCAAGCATATGTCCTGTATTTCTTCTATCATTAATTTAACCAACCCTTAACACACTTACTCTGTTCTAGGGATTCAGTAGTGTGTTAGACATTTCTTCACAGAGACTACATTCTAGTGGAATAAAAGAAAACATATTTTGTAACTTTTGTGTGCTCATATTCTGAAGTAAAAAAATTGTTATTTAAAAGGCCCAAGTTGTCAGAAGTCATCCAAAGCAACAAAGCTCTCTAAACACATGTCAAATAAAACATGGAATGATCTATGTTTTTCTGTGTCATATTTTATACAATGGAAGTTTCTCAGATGGAGCTTTGCAAACTTGTACATGTCATAAATAATTATTATAAGAGTTTTGATACATTATAGTAATAAATATTCTTACCTCAAAGAGTGGTAAATCGTGGGCCAAAAATTTTGGCAGATTTACATCAATAATAGATCTGAGTAGCAAAATTTCTTCACTTTCATTTGGGTACTTTAGCTAAAAGGAAATACACTTATGATCATATTTGTGTCTGCTAACCATATCCCCTGTACATATACACAAAAACCTACACATACACACAAATACAGTGAAATCTATTTGTACTCAATGTACAAATTAATACAGGTCCCAAAAGCAATTTAAAGAAATGCAAAGATGTCATTCTTACTTCTTTTCATTTTCTGGGATTGTTATTAATTTCAGGAAGTGACATTTATACTTGCTGAATTTTCTCTACTAGTTTATTATAAAAATATATGTTCAACTAACTACCCATTCACAGATGTGTTGGAAAGAGAACTATTGATAATGTAGTCATATAGTTTAGGAGTTGTTATTACCTATATATACCCAGCGAGATGGATTGGCAAAGTGGCAGCATCAATGGGCTCAAGCATGACAACAACGGTGAGGGTAGCCCAGGACCTGGCAGTGTTTCGTTCTGTTGTACATAGGGTCTCTGTGAGTTGGTACTGACTCAATGGCACCTAACAACAACAGTAACTACAAATTGGGTAGGAACTTGCATGTCTTTGGCCTTCAAGATCAGTAGGGAGTTGGCTAATTGAAGACAATCATTAAAAGTGACTCATTTTCTTGTCTCATGGCAAAAAAAAAAGCTGCCGCCTTTGCCACAAGACAAAAACTGTATGGTACCTAGCTACAATTACTAAATATTTTAATCAAAGATTCTATAGGAAAATCCTAATCAAAAGGGAGGAAATACAGGAGAATTTTAAATTCCCATGGAATCCATGGTAGACAAATGAAACCCAGACACTACTGTTCTAGTATTATCTTTAAACCTTAAACAGAAAAAATATGCTCTCAAGTCTTCTTAAAACCAAACAATTGTGTCATTTATTTAGTAAAGAATGTCTGCCTTGAGCATTGTGTTGCTTTAAGAACTATCTATAATGGATCAGGTTGACAACAGCAACTTTAAAGATTAGCTAGGAAACTTAGGGGAGAGTAAGTTCATGTTAATGGAGGAGGAACAATGTAGAAAACGAGGGTGACAATGCTTGTACAACTTACAGAATATAATCAGTGACATTGAATTGTAGATGTAGAAATTGGTGAATTGGTATATGTCCTGCTGTATACAGCCTCAAAATTTTGTTTAATTTTTTTTGTTGTATTTTCACAAAAAATAAAATAAATTATTTTAAAAGTGGGTGATCGTTTCTGGTGACACATGTAAATTTAAAACATGAATTCTTACTCATTTGCCAGTATTTGTAAGTCAAAGCCTTTTCTCTGGCTCTAGAATTAGACACTGTTTTTCTTGTAACAACTATATTAATAAATGCACTATCTGTTCTGTCCAATATGATAGTGTTCTGATCTGTTTTGTTTTAAGGTGGTGGTGTTGTAAAGTGCCATTGAATTGGTTCTGCCTCATAACCACCCTGCATAGTGTTTCCAAGAAGCATCTGGAATTAGCAGTCTAATGTTTATCATACAGTGCCACACCAGGACTCCTTAAAAGGGATAATGTTCTTGAAAGATACTCGAAAGACAATCTAAGTGCAGTAGCCTTCTAAATTTCTTGTCAGAGTTTTATGTTGGTCTCATCCTGGTGTGACACTGTGGGATAAAGCACTGGACTTCAAGGTCGGTTTGAACCACAAGGTCAATGGTTCAAACTCACCAGCTGCTCCTTGGAAACCCTATCAGAGCTGTTATGAGTCGGAACCGACTCAATGGCACTTAACAACAACAACATCCACATCTAATTCATTATAATGTTTTTCAGTCTTTTTTACCTTTACTGAATCTTTCTAAAAGAATGAACTTAGTTTTCACAGAAACAAAACTCTTATTTTCAAACATTTATCATTAGTTTGTTGTTAAGTATCGTTGTCTCATTTCCAACTCATAGCAACCCTGTACAGTGTTTCTGAGGAGTGGCTGGTGGGTTTGAACTGCTTATCTTGAGGTTAGTAGTCCAGTGCTTATCCTACAGTGCCACACCATAGGATAAATCATTAATTTAGACAACTTTCAAATGTCCAGCTGGCTTCAAAAATGTTCCAGAGCTAATAAGCTGACCCTGGGTACAGAATACAGCTAAACTGGTAGAAGGCAGTAAGAAGAGTAACTAGCACAATGCCTCCTAGTAGGGAGTTCAGCAGGTGCTAGGTCACGTCAACATGTTCTACAGAGACTGGGGAGGGCTGTTACAATGCCAAGTTAAGTAAGGGTATGTAAGAAAATGTGTATTAAATTCCCAAGCACCTGTGGTATACACAATGTTTACTAAAAACTTGACTGGACTTGTTGCTTATATACATAATGCTGTTGTTGTTGTTAAGTGCTATCGAGTAGGTTCTGGCCCAGAGTTACCCTGTAGAGGGTTTCTGAGAAGCAGCTGGTGAGTTCGAATCACCGACCCTGTAGTTCAAATTGACTTTGCAGTCTGGTGCATTAACCCACAATACCACTCTCTC